CCAAAAGGAGTGTGGTGAGTTGTGTCGTCCTCCGTGGAATCAAGGAAATTGAGTTCGGTGGGGGTGACCGGGTGAGAATAAGGGTAGATATTTTCATCAAAAATGACATGACGAGATATGATGATTTTGTGAGTGAGAAGATCAAGACATCGATATCCCCGTTGGTTAGACGGGTACCCTGAGAAGACACATCGGGCCGAGCGAGGTGCGAGTTTATGAGGGGCGGTGGCGGATATATTAGGATAGCAGAGACAACCGTAGACTCGAAGGTGAGAGTAGGTGGGTTTGAAACCATAAAGGACTTCATAGGGAGTACGATTTTGGAGTGTGGTGGTGGGTAAGAGGTTAAAAAGATGAGAGGCCATGTGTAGAGCCTCGACCCAGAAGGTTGGTGGGAGTTGAGCCTGAAAAAGAAGAGATTGCACAGTGTTGTTGATGGTGCGAATGGTCCGTTCAGCACGACCATTTTGTTGGCTAGTGTGTGGACACGAGAAGCGGAAGATTATACCCAAGGATTCAAAAATATTGCGAAGGGGCGTGTTCCTATATTCAGTTCCATTATCACATTGAACAGCCTTAATAGTAGCATTAAACTGATTTTTCACAAAAGCAATAAATGTGTGAAGATGAGAACATGCATCAGATTTATGTTTAAGAGGGAACACCCACAAAAAATGAGAATAATCATCCAAGAGTAACATATAATGCTTAAAACCAGTAATACTAGTAACAGGCGATTGCCATAAATCAGTGTGTAAAAGCTGAAAGGGAAAAGTAGAAATACGACTCGATGACTCAAAGGGAAGACGAACATGTTTCCCCAACTGACAAGCATGACAAAGAGACTGTTGTAAATGTTTAAAAGACATGGAGGAAAAACTGGGGATTCCACGAAGGATGGCAAGGCTAGGGTGGCCAAGACGACGATGCCAGAGCTCCGAGCTACCGGTGACAACGTTGACTTGGGCCTGGGCTTGGGCGGTGGGCTGGCTCATAGGGTAGAGTGGGCCGGCATTACTGGACCGATGAATCACGGTTCTCGTCAGCATATCCTTCACAGAAAAACCAGTGGGGTCAAATTCAATAGAGCAATTATTGTCACGGGTAAACTGGCGAACAGAAATAAGGTTGTGGATAATATGGGGGGAGACAAGAATATTTTGTAAGTGAAGGGGAGGGGATGTGGGAAATTTATAGTTACCTATAGCCGTAGTGCGAACTTTAGAACCATTACCGACAGTGATATATGATGAAGAATTTAATGAATGAGTACGAACATGAGAAAGAGTACCTGGGTCCGAGGCGATGTGGTGAGTGGCGCCGGTGTCCATGTACCAATTGGGATCACGGAGGCTGAGAGTGTCGAAATTATGAGCTAGGGCAGTTGGGGTGGGGACACCAGAGAGGTGGCTGGTGGGTGAGGGTGGGGGTGTC